ACCCCTTTGGAATCTGGCAAAAATTGACCCGGAAATTTTCTGCCCGAATCGGTGTTTAGTAGACTTATCCATCCCTAAAGAATAGCCTCAGGTTGAATCCGTGATCTGCACACATCAAAATCCAAGGAAAATGGCCTTTCGAAAAAGTCGCCTAAAAATTACGAAAATGCCCTCCGTAGAAATTCTACCAAATTTTCGCACAAATCGGCCACTGCTAGACTTCATTGTTGGTGGAGAGTACCCTAAGGCCGAATCTGTGATCCATCGCCTTCAAAATCCAAGGAAACTGGCATTTCCAAAAAATCGCCCGAAATCGGTGATGGTACCCCCTTTGGAATCTGGCAAAAATTGACCCGGAAATTTTCTGCCCGAATCGGTATTTAGTAGACTTATCCATCGCTAAAGAATAGCCTCAGGTTGAATCCGTGATCTGCACACTTCAAAATCCAAGGAAAATGGCCTTTCGAAAAAGTCGCCTAAAAATTACGAAAATGCCCTCCGTAAAAATTCTACCAAATTTTCGCACAAATCGGCCACTGCTAGACTTCACCGTTGGTGGAGAGTACCCTAAGGCCGGATCTGTGATCCATCGCCTTCAAAATCCAAGGAAAATGGCATTTCCAAAAAATCGCCCGAAATCGGTGATGGTACCCCTTTGTAATCTGGCAAAAATTGACCCGGAAATTTTCTGCCCGAATCGGTGTTTAGTAGACTTATCCATCCCTAAAGAATAGCCTCAGGTTGAATCCGTGATCTGCACACTTCAAAATCCAAGGAAAATGGCCTTTCGAAAAAGTCGCCTAAAAATTACGAAAATGCCCTCCGTAAAAATTCTACCAAATTTTCGCACAAATCGGCCACTGCTAGACTTCACCGTTGGTGGAGAGTACCCTAAGGCCGAATCTGTGATCCATCGCCTTCAAAATCCAAGGAAAATGGCATTTCCAAAAAATCGCCCGAAATCGGTGATGGTACCCCTTTGGAATCTGGCAAAAATTGGCCCGGCAATTTTCTGCCCGAATCGCTGTTTAATAGACTTATTCATCCCTAAAGAATAGCCTCAGGCTGAATCCGTGATCTTCACACTTCAAAATCCAAGGAAAATGGCCTTTCGAAAAAGTCGCCTAAAAATTACGAAAATGCCCTCCGTAAAAATTCTACCAAATTTTCGCACAAATCGGCCACTGCTAGACTTCACCGTTGGTGGAGAGTACCCTAAGGCCGAATCTGTGATCCATCGCCTTCAAAATCCAACGAAAATGGCCTTTCCAAAAAATCGCCCGAAATCGGTGATGGTACCCCTTTGGAATCTGGCAAAAAATTGGCCCGGCAATTTTCTGCCCGAATCGCTGTTTAATAGACTTATTCATCCCTAAAGAATAGCCTCAGGCTGAATCCGTGATCTGCACACTTCAAAATCCAAGGAAAATGGCCTTTCGAAAAAGTCGCCTAAAAATTACGAAAATGCCCTCCGTAAAAATTCTACCAAATTTTCGCACAGATCGGCCACTGCTAGACTTCATCGTTGGTGGAGAGTACCCTAAGGCCGAATCTGTGATCCATCGCCTTCAAAATCCAAGGAAACTGGCATTTCCAAAATATCGCCCGAAATCGGTGATGGTACCCCTTTGGAATCTGGCAAAAATTGACCCGGAAATTTTCTGCCCGAATCGGTGTTTAGTAGACTTATCCATCCCTAAAGAATAGCCTCAGGTTGAATCCGTGATCTGCACACTTCAAAATCCAAGGAAAATGGCCTTTCGAAAAAGTCGCCTAAAAATTACGAAAATGCACTCCGTAAAAATTCTACCAAATTTTCGCACAAATCGGCAACTGCTAGACTTCACCGTTGGTGGAGAGTACCCTAAGGCCGGATCTGTGATCCATCGCCTTCAAAATCCAAGGAAAATGGCATTTCCAAAAAATCGCCCGAAATCGGTGATGGTACCCCTTTGGAATCTGGCAAAAATTGACCCGGCAATTTTCTGCCCGAATCGGTGTTTAATAGACTTATTCATCCCTAAAGAATAGCCTCAGGTTGAATCCGTGATCTGCACACTTCAAAATCCAAGGAAAATGGCCTTTCGAAAAAGTCGCCTAAAAATTACGAAAATGCCCTCCGTAAAAATTCTACCAAATTTTCGCACAGATCGGCCACTGCTAGACTTCATCGTTGGTGGAGAGTACCCTAAGGCCGAATCTGTGATCCATCGCCTTCAAAATCCAAGGAAAGTGGCATTTCCAAAAAATCGCCCGAAATCGGTGATGGTACCCCTTTGGAATCTGGCAAAAATTGACCCGGAAATTTTCTGCCCGAATCGGTGTTTAGTAGACTTATCCATCCCTAAAGAATAGCCTCAGGCTGAATCCGTGATCTTCACACTTCAAAATCCAAGGAAAAAGGCCTTTCGAAAAAGTCGCCTAAAAATTACGAAAATGCCCTCCCGAATAATTCGACCAAATTTCCGCCCAAATCGGCCACTGCTAGACTTCATCGTTGGTGGAGAGTACCCTAAGGCCGAATCTGTGATCCATCGCCTTCAAAATCCAACGAAAATGGCCTTTCCAAAAAATCGCCCGAAATCGGTGATGGTACCCCTTTGGGATCTGGCAAAAAATTGGCCCGGCAATTTTCTGCCCGAATCGCTGTTTAATAGACTTATTCATCCCTAAAGAATAGCCTCAGGCTGAATCCGTGATCTTCACACTTCAAAATCCAAGGAAAAAGGCCTTTCGAAAAAGTCGCCTAAAAATTACGAAAATGCCCTCCGTAAAAATTCTACCAAATTTTCGCACAAATCGGCCACTGCTAGACTTCATCGTTGGTGGAGAGTACCCTAAGGCCGAATTTGTGATCCATCGCCTTCAAAATCCAAGGAAAATGGCATTTCCAAAAAATCGCCCGAAATCGGTGATGGTACCCCTTTGGAATCTGGCAAAAATTGACCCGGAAATTTTCTGCCCGAATCGGTGTTTAATAGACTTATTCATCCCTAAAGAATAGCCTCAGGCTGAATCCGTGATCTTCACACTTCAAAATCCAAGGAAAAAGGCCTTTCGAAAAAGTCGCCTAAAAATTACGAAAATGCCCCCCGTAAAAATTCTACCAAATTTTCGCACAAATCGGCCACTGCTAGACTTCATCGCTAATGGGGAGTACCCTAAGGCCGAATCTGTGATCCATCGCCTTCAAAATCCAACGAAAATGGCCTTTCCAAAAAATCGCCCGAAATCGGTGATGGTACCCCTTTGGGATCTGGCAAAAAATTGGCCCGGCAATTTTCTGCCCGAATCGCTGTTTAATAGACTTATTCATCCCTAAAGAATAGCCTCAGGCTGAATCCGTGATCTTCACACTTCAAAATCCAAGGAAAAAGGCCTTTCGAAAAAGTCGCCTAAAAATTACGAAAATGCCCTCCCGAATAATTCGACCAAATTTCCGCCCAAATCGGCCACTGCTAGACTTCATCGTTGGTGGAGAGTACCCTAAGGCCGAATCTGTGATCCATCGCCTTCAAAATCCAACGAAAATGGCCTTTCCGAAAAATCGCCCGAAATCGGTGATGGTACCCCTTTGGGATCTGGCAAAAAATTGGCCCGGCAATTTTCTGCCCGAATCGCTGTTTAATAGACTTATTCATCCCTAAAGAATAGCCTCAGGCTGAATCCGTGATCTTCACACTTCAAAATCCAAGGAAAAAGGCCTTTCGAAAAAGTCGCCTAAAAATTACGAAAATGCCCTCCCGAATAATTCGACCAAATTTCCGCCCAAATCGGCCACTGCTAGACTTCATCGTTGGTGGAGAGTACCCTAAGGCCGAATCTGTGATCCATCGCCTTCAAAATCCAAGGAAACTGGCATTTCCAAAAAATCGCCCGAAATCGGTGATGGTACCCCTTTGGAATCTGGCAAAAATTGACCCGGAAATTTTCTGCCCGAATCGGTGTTTAATAGACTTATTCATCCCTAAAGAATAGCCTCAGGCTGAATCCGTGATCTTCACACTTCAAAATCCAAGGAAAAAGGCCTTTCGAAAAAGTCGCCTAAAAATTACGAAAATGCCCTCCGTAAAAATTCTACCAAATTTTCGCACAAATCGGCCACTGCTAGACTTCATCGCTGGTGGAGAGTACCCTAAGGCCGAATCTGTGATCCATCGCCTTCAAAATCCAACGAAAATGGCCTTTCCGAAAAATCGCCCGAAATCGGTGATGGTACCCCTTTGGGATCTGGCAAAAAATTGGCCCGGCAATTTTCTGCCCGAATCGCTGTTTAATAGACTTATTCATCCCTAAAGAATAGCCTCAGGCTGAATCCGTGATCTTCACACTTCAAAATCCAAGGAAAAAGGCCTTTCGAAAAAGTCGCCTAAAAATTACGAAAATGCCCTCCCGAATAATTCGACCAAATTTCCGCCCAAATCGGCCACTGCTAGACTTCATCGTTGGTGGAGAGTACCCTAAGGCCGAATCTGTGATCCATCGCCTTCAAAATCCAACGAAAATGGCCTTTCCGAAAAATCGCCCGAAATCGGTGATGGTACCCCTTTGGGATCTGGCAAAAAATTGGCCCGGCAATTTTCTGCCCGAATCGCTGTTTAATAGACTTATTCATCCCTAAAGAATAGCCTCAGGCTGAATCCGTGATCTTCACACTTCAAAATCCAAGGAAAAAGGCCTTTCGAAAAAGTCGCCTAAAAATTACGAAAATGCCCTCCGTAAAAATTCTACCAAATTTTCGCACAAATCGGCCACTGCTAGACTTCATCGTTGGTGGAGAGTACCCTAAGGCCGAATCTGTGATCCATCGCCTTCAAAATCCAAGGAAAATGGCATTTCCAAAAAATCGCCCGAAATCGGTGATGGTACCCCTTTGGAATCTGGCAAAAATTGACCCGGAAATTTTCTGCCCGAATCGGTGTTTAGTAGACTTATCCATCTCTAAAAACACCATAAACAATATGAATTCAATAAATATTATCTCAAACTTAGAAACCACCCACAAAATTAATATAATAGCTAGCTGAGTTCGATTTTCCATTCCTTCTTTTGTCCGATTCTATACATTGCAAATTTCCTTTGAAGTATCTATCGGCAATTACGATCGTATTGTCCTGACAACAATTCAAGGGGACAATTTTTTTGGAACGTTGAATGCCGATAAAAATATGTTATAGAGAGGACACTGGATGTGAAAACCGAAAAGGAAACGCGACGGGTTCTATATAATGTAAATGTGCGCCCGCCAGTCACTTGATTCATTTAAGATAGATAGGTATTGGGGATGCTAAAGCCGGTCGAAAGAGGCAAAGAGCAGAGTATGAGATTCCTCCACCACCACTTATGGTTTCTGGTTCTGCAGAGCTGACGACGACGACATTTTCATTGCCATTCTGCAGGGAGCAAAACGAAGATGCCAAGCTCGACCTTCCTCTTAGCGGCGCTACCCTAGAAATCGTTGCTATTATTGACAGCAGATCGAGAAGCAAGCAATACATCGATGAATCAGGAGAGGTGATTCCACACAAAACATGCATCCACAATTAAGTCAAAGTTACTAAACCACTCTCTGCAAAAATAAGACAGGATATGGAATCTGAGGCAGGAAGTTGGTGACGATATGGTATCAACACATCATTGAATCAAGTAAAGTTATGCTAAAATTAAGCTCATGAACTGCAACTCCAATAGTTGGAATCAAACTACAAGAGCTTACAAAACAAAGCATAACTTTTCCCTCCACAATATACTATACTAGAACATAGAAACAAGCTCTCTAAAAAACACAAGCACAAACAAGCATCAGCTACAATTCTCAATATGATAGAGCATGTTTCCCACCAGAAATCAGGTGGCTTATGAATAACTAAATTAATCCGACGACTTGATACTAGGCCAAGTTACTCAAAACTCAGAACTAGCAAACTCGTCAAAGACAATCCTACACAAATGCTTCAATTTTCTAAAACATAAGTCTCTGTGCCCCTTTCACCACATCGATTACTTTTAATATCAAACGAACCTTTGACAACTCGTTGTTTGCAAGAACCACGCAATTGAGAACAAACCCTGATTCTATGTGCCAAAGGCTGTACAATCCACTCAATCAGCTAGTTCTGTTAACACAGACATCATGATGCATCAAATTCCAAGCAAAATGATGGCTCAGAAACTGTGAGTTCACTCATGAACGACCAAGCAAATATAACCAACCATGTCGCAGACAATGCAAGCTTTAGACAATTTCTCAACAGCATTGAACCATAGGATTACATAATCTTTAACAAACTCGGCAAAGCAGGAGATAAATAACAACAGATAATCGAAGCGCAAGATAAAGACTAAAAGGCGGGGAAGATCTACTAAGTGTTCTACTCTTAAGTGCCTCATGAACAAGGTCTTTGATATTTATCCTCATTACAGAAGCAAGGCAACAGAAAGAGATCAAACAGGCAAAAAGAATTGAACATTTCACGAACCATCAACTACGCCATTGGCAATGAAACAAACCAAATGATAATCGCATCACAACTAATGAAATCTACTATAACAATACTCAAACGCCCTAAAGAGATTTCATGTACATCATCTACCCCATCCTCAAATCTTCTCTTCATGAAGATTACATACTAGACAATCAGCAGATCATAAAAAAAAAACAAGCAGATGAGATCCAAACCCCCCAAAGCCCAAATTCTTACTCTTAAGAGTACACGATGCAGCGCTTGGGAGCTCCGGTCAAGTTCCCAGAGCCACCATTCCCGGCGAGACGCATATTGAGATCGAAGCAGTACACCTTCAGCAGACGCCGCCTGGCTCTCAGCTTGCCGTACTTAAATCCAACACCAGCCACCACCTTCAAATTGAAAGTCACGGAGCCGTGCTTCCTCCTCTCCTCGTCGACCGCGTCGGTCACCGACTGGTCGACGAAAGTGTTGATGATCGAGAACTGCGTCTCCATCACCGTCAGATTCTTGTGAACCTGGACGAACGGCTGGAGCCGATTCTCCGTGAGGAACACCTTCTGGTACAGCACGGAGGCCTGAATCACGTCGTACTCGATGTCCATCTTCTTGTTCGGATTGTAGACCTCGAACCGCGCTGCCCAGGTCCCGGAGAGCTGGTGGCCGGAGGAATTGAATCCGGAGAGAGTGAAGTTAGTGAGGCGGAACTCGGGGACGCGGGGGCGGATTACGATCCAGCTGATGAAGAGCGCGGTGAAGAAGATGACGGTGATGACGATGAAGACCATGATTAATCGGCGGTAGAGAGCGGGGCGGCCTTGGGTGTAGATAGGGCCCTGCCCGTTGCTAGGGTTATTGTAGTAGTAGGGATTGGAAGGCTGCGGCGGAGCTTGGTAGGGATAGGCGGTGCCGGTTGGAGGAGGATAGCCGTTGGGGCGCTGTTGATTGGGAGGGACGGGGTAGCCGGTGGCTGGTTCCATCGCTACTACTGGCGGTGAATCGCCGGCGGGGAGGTGGAAATTGGGGGAAAGCGGCGAGAAAATGAAATTGCGTTGGGGTGCGGGGAAGTGGCGGTGAAGTAGAGAGAGGAATCTAGTAGGAGAAGGAAGGAGAGAGAGAGAGTCCGAGTTTTCCAACTTGACGGGTTTTTGCCGTCTCTACGCTGCTGTGATTTAGGGGTTGTTTGCTTCATGGATTTAAAAATGAGGGTTTTATAATTTAAAAACCCAATGATTTATCAAGGATTTGAGGCATCATGGATTTGTAACAATCCTTTGTTTGTTGGGATGTTTTTATCATGGATTTAAAGGTGTGGGATTTACTACTTGAAGTAAAAAATTACATTACTGCCCTTTTCTATATGTTTGACATGTTTATAATATGTACACAAAACAAGGACAAAACTTCGAAATTACCTTACTATCATTTTCTATATGTTTGACATGTTTATGATATGTACACAAAACAAGGACAATACATACTAATAAGCATAATGTTGCCACATGAACAATAATAATAAACAAGAAAATTCCGTTTTAACTTTTAACGTAACATAATCAATTACCAATTCTTTGTCATCATTTTCAAAAGTGACATATAACAACATATATTAGAATCGGGAGAACAAAGAATTACACGTTCCATGAAAAGGTCAAAGAAAACTAGAACACAAGAAATGATATAAAAAATCTAACTCATGTTTGCATTTTGCACATTAATTGAACGTTTATAGGATTCATTTATTGTTAATTATAATGTATAATAGTTAAATTTGAGGGCAACCTTGGAATATTAAAAGTGCATGAGGGTATATGAGTAAAATCTCATCAAGGATTTATGCCATATTCCAAATCCCACATCAACATGTGGGATTTATAAGTCCGTGGGGTCCACGGATTTGGACCCTTAAAATCCGTGGGGCCCACGGATTTGGTCTCCAAAAAAAGTGCAAGCAAACAAAAGATTGTACCTAAATCCTTGATAGTTGGTTTTTTGGTACCAAATCCATGTACCAAATCCTTGAAGCAAACGACCCCTTAGCCATTTAGCATTTAGGCGTGGCGTTCGATTCGGCCTGATTCGAGGCGGATCGGTTTCGGAACTGGGCGAACCAGTGTTGATCCTGGGGTTCGGTTATGGGTTTGGTTCGAGTCAATTGTTAGTTGATGTGGCTTGGTTTTGGGAACAAGTAGGGATGTGAAACGGTTTGGTTCGTGCCGGTTCAAATTGATACTTGGATCAAATTATATCGAATTGAATGCATTGGTGTCCGATTATTTGTCCTTTGAATTTTATAAATGTGGGAAAAAATAGACTGTATTGACATTTGGATCGGTCCAAACATAATCAAATGCGAATCCGATCCTTGATCCTAAGATGTACTTCACTATTGAACTGTGGTTCTCGTGAGTTTGTTCTTGTCCGTAACAACAGAATTTTCGCAAGATAATAATGGAAATAATTAATTGGTATTAATTATTATTTATTAAATGAAATAATAAGTTTTTAGGAATTCATTTTGAAATGATTTTTTGTGTGTGTTTGGAATGTATAAATGAATTCATCTTCAATTCTAAAATTTGAATTATGCGGAATTGAGGTTAGTTTTACGAATTTTGAGAAATTGAGGTGGAATTTCACAAGTATTTTACTAATTATGATACAATGACATAATTGTCCGCAACTATGAAGTAAATGATCCCTATATAAATATAAGTTGGCACCAATACTCCATATTTGGGTGCCTAACCTTCTTCGCCTAGCCCCTACTTCACCTAATATATCATCATCATTTGGCTCCTATATTCTCTTGTGTGTTCTAATCGGTCGACTATCTCAGTTTCATTCTTATGTTAAGCTGCAACACTGATACTATTTATTATTCGTCGTTTTTGCTTGATGTGACTATCTCAGTTTCATTCTTATGCTAAGCTGCAACACTGATACTACTTATTATTAGTCGTTTTTGCTTGATCGGATTGGTTGTATGATAGTTTTTACACTTTTTGCTTTTAAAGATGGATTTTCAATGAGTAATAGGCTACAATAATATTCTTTCTACTGTAAATTAATAAGGGTATAGTTTAAAACTTTTAATTTAATTCAATTTCGAACGTATCTCAAACATGATTTGAAAATATATTCTAAAAATTTGAATACAACGTTCCAAACATAGAAATTTATTTTACAATAACAAACATGATTTGAAAATATATTCTAAAAATTTGAATACAACGTTCCAAACATAGAAATTTATTTTACAATAAATTCCTATAGATTTCGTTTTAAAATGATATAAATTGGGGATTGATTCTTTTCCAAACTTTCTATAAGATGATTTTTTTAATTTTAGAAAGCCATACACAAGGCGCAAATAATTGGGCGGGAGCACCAAAATCAGCCATCCAAATGTGGTACTTCCTGATATGGAAGATTCCTCATCGAAAAACGATTAAGGACTCACCTAACTCTACCCTAGCAGAAAGGATAAAAGGCGCGCTTCTTGATGTCACCTTCTGAAAGAATAATAAGAATGTGGAAGCGCCGGAAAACAGAGCAGAGCTCCAGCGGGTAAGCCTCTAAGCCAACCTCTGTTTTTGCTTGTGTTCCTTTTCGATTTGGTCATTAACTGATTAAGAACTGCCACAATTTCCCACCAGCCCCAATCACAAGGAAATCAGGCTGATTTCTGCTGCTGCTGAATCCAACGGAGCTTGGTCCGAATTGCCGGGGGAGCTCTTGTGTCTAATCGATCAACGGCTAACCGAATCGAAAGATTTCATCCGATTCCGAGCCATTTGCAAGCCGTGGAGGGAAACCCTAATGGCCAATTCCCCGCGGAAGTTCAAATCCCCTGTTCCTTGGCTGATGCTTCCGTACTGCCGCGATTCGGCCATGGCTGGTGGATTGTGCAGCAGCGGAGGCAGCAGGTGCAGGCTGTTTTACGACGTCGGGGAGAAGAAATTTCGCCACATCGAATTGCCGGAAAATGGTTTGGGCAGAACGGTTGCTTGTCGTGGCTCTGTTTCAGGCTGGGTATTCACTCTGCAGGGTGGGACTCTGCTCTTGACGAACCCCTTTACGGGTGATCGGATCTCGCTGCCGGCGATCACCGCTTTCCCCGATGTGCTGAGTTACCGCCCGGAAAAGCACCGCCACGAGGTCCTCCATGTCGACCGCCAAGGCAGCAGGACAGCACGGGGAAAGAGGTTCATGGAGAAGAGATTCATTGAGAAAATGGCTCTGTCGTGTCCGCCAGAGGAGGAGGATGAGGAATGTGTTGCGATGGTCATTCGGACGTCCATCAGCTTTCGTCAACAGCTAGCTTTTTGCAAGTTGCATAGGAAGAGGGCTGGGCTTGTTGAAGATGAAGAAGAAGGATGGACATTGATTCCGCGACCCCCGGGGTGGCATTGTCTTATGGATGTTGTGTTTTGGAGGGGTCAGTTTTATGTCGTGGATCAAGCAGGGAAGGCTTTCGTCTGCGATATTTCTGAACCACATCGTCCGGAGCTGCGATCGGTCACTGACATGGACGAGATTAAGGGCGCACCTAACAACGTCTACTTAGTAACGTGCTCGGAGGAGGATGAGTTGATGTTCGTGACCAGGTATGTAACCGATGATAACCCAGGGGAGCGAATTGGTGATTATGATGTTCAAAATGACGTGGAGGATGATGCTGAAGCTGATCTCACTATACCCGATTCGGATTCGGATGACGGGCATCGCGTCCCAACGGGAATGAATTTAGCCGCCAGGGTGAGACACACGACTAAATTCAGGGTTTTCAGGCTCAACGAGGACACTAAGCGGTGGGACGAGGTCGACGGCATTGGCGAATTCGCTCTCCTCCTAGGGTTCAACACTGCTGTTCGCATCCCCACCGCGGACCATCCCGAGCTCGCCCGAAACTCTATTTATTTCACGGACGATCTCGTTGAAAATCATTATAGAAAGCTGCTTGGAGGTTTCGACATGGGAATTTACAGTCTCGACACTCATACCGTTCAGCCATTATACGATGTCAGTTCGATTCATGAGAATCGTATGTTCATATCTCCGTCACCATCATGGGTCATACCGACCCTGACTTATTAATCAGTTACTGCACTTTCTTTATTTTGTTTCTTGGATGGATGTGTACGTACGTTGTTTGACGTCGTACTCGAATGTGGTGCTCGCTCGCTTATGAATCATGATGGATCCTTGGCAAGGTTGTCAACCCGCGGGTTGACCCACGGGTCGACCCAATTTGACCCTGACGCGATGAGAAAAACGGGCCACACGCACCCGCCGGGCCGACCGCTATAAGATACCGGGTTGGAGGTCAAATTGTGTCATTTTTTCTTTAGTTTGCGAAATGCGCATATTTTCCAATTTTTCTTTTCGCCTAACTCAATATTTGGAATACTAAGTTGAACATTTGAATATTTATGTTATATAAGTGTGTGTGAATTTTCACTATATGTTGGATCTAAGTACAATATATTGTTTTGGTGTAATATTATATGTTATAACTCATACTAGTAAGGAAGCCCGCGCTACGCGACGGGGAAAGACGAATGAAAAATGGTCTTTGAGATGTTCAAGTCTGACTTAGTTTTGATCCCACGATGAAACTAAATAGCCTACAAAAGACACCATGGGGCCTTCAAAGAACAATGGAAAATGGTCTTTGAGATGTTCAAGTCTGACTTAGTTTTGATCCCACGATGAAACTAAATAGCCTACAAAAGACACCATGGGGCCTTCAAAGAACAATAACATAAGTAGGGTACAAAAAAGATGATGTGTGCATTGGTCTTTCCCCATCTCTTTAAGAAAGTGAAAATGATATGCAAGTATCCAACTAATTGAACAAAATTCAGAAAATAGAGGGGATAGAATCCAAACCCACCAGATGGATTGTGTGTTCACTTCACAAAATTCAGAATGGGCAATCTGTGAAACACCTGGATGTAAAACCACTGCGATTATGATGTTATAAGACAAAAAAATGAACCATCGAGGGTAATACGGAATCATTAGCTTGGTCTCGAGCTCGTAAAGGCTACACATAAAATATGTCAATGTTGATATACTAAGGTTAAAAAATGTTGTTTCCAATTCCAATACAGATGTCAGTAACTACGACACTTAACTAAATATCTCTTGAGCTTTTCTTAACCTTTAACCCGTTGGATGGTATCGAGCTATGACCAAATGCCGATTCTGCTACTTAAAAGAAAGAGGTATCAGGACGACAATCTATTTAGGAAAGCTGGTGTAAATAAATTGAGTTAAGAAATTAGAATTGTTTCTGCAAGTGCATAAAAGAGAAAGAACGGGGCTGAAAATACTCTTTTCCTTTTCTTTTTCTGGTCTGCATCCTTGGGTGCTGCTGTTTGCTGTGGGAGAGACCCGTTTCGGTTTCTGTTCCGCATCTTTGGATGCTGCTGTTTGCTGAGTCTTTGTTATTGGTTTTATTTAGCTTCTGCAGCTGGTGGGACTTGGATATCTCAGTTTGGGATCTGTCTTGTGCTTGTTGTATGTTAGTTTTTGTTGTTTTCTTAATAAAATGATGTCACCATTATAAAAAAAAACACTCTTAAGGATTTGCAAATAAGTCAAATTGCACTCACTGGCGGATAGCAAGAACAATCACTTGAAACCAATAGCAAATCTGTGACCACAAACTTCATATATAAAGACATCAATCAAATACATACAGCCATCTAGACCTCTGAGAAATGTGGAAAGGAACCCCTCTTAAGCAGCATATAAAAGTACAAATTCATATCCCAACCATTTGCAGGGACCGCTCCATGCAAGTGCAACTCTTAACTACTTGATCATGAATGTACGAACTAACTAATAAAGAGGCAGGAACATTGAACCAATGAAGCATTTCGATCCAAAAGCTGACACTCACAAAGACATAAAGTTTGCTGCAATGGGAAAATTGAAGGTATAAGTTCCCTCGTTATCAAGCAGTATGGAAACTTCCCTGATAACTGCAACAGATGAAAAATACGGGATTATACAGTTAATTGTAAGAATGTGATTTGATGACAACAAACAGTGAGCATAAAGGGAACTGATAAAGCATTTCACAATCTTAGCACCTCGCTTATGGCATCAACATTTACAACTTCTGAAGGCCATTATATACAAACTCCAGAATTCATGAGAAGTAAATAAACGCTAACCTTGTAACATAACCCCAAATTACCAGTGAGAATGAAGGAAATTAAAATATAAAAAGGAAACTCTTCTGGAAACTGAGACAAAACGGTAGTGGCTGGAAGTGCTTTCCTGCTGTGGTTCTCCTGCGCCATGTTGACTTGTGGTTAACTGACTCACAGTCACGAAGCAATAAATTTAAACTTAGCAATAAGAAACAAAGATTTGCCAAAGCAAGAAATTAAAACACACTAATGGTTGAGAGTGCAGAGAGAGGAAAAACAAAGATTGAATAACAACTGAGTAAAGAAAGTAGACAAAGCAAGAAAATCCAAATCCAAATTTCCCAAAAAGGAAAAAACCACTTGGTTTCTAAGTGTTGAAGCAAGAGGGAAATAAATCCAAACCAAAGGTCCAAACCCAAAACAAATTTCCTAACCAGCAATTACCAATAACTCAAACATAGAGAAATAAACAACTGTAAGCTACAGAGCTGAGTGGTTTAAGCTAATGAAACTCACCTGCCTCGAACATCGCAAGTCCCTCCTATGCAGGCTTGTTGGGACACCGAAATTGTGCTAAAATTGCAGGACCTGGACGTTTGGGTGAGTGGCGCCCTTTCAGAAGATTATTTGCAAGGAAATTTGTCTCACTTGGCTGGTAAATGATCCCTACAAATGGCTTCCTCTCAACCTAACATTACTAATCTTCGGAGACCATTTTCTATTCTCTTTGTTCCCTGGGTCTTACATTGTTCTATTGGTGTTTTCACGTCCAAATTGCAATTCTTATAAACAACTATATTTGCATAGTTTTGTAAATTTCATCCTAAATAAGCAATGCACTTTGTCATTATTAAAGCAAAATCACAACCCTACTTTGGTTAATTAAGCCATAATGCAATAAAAGTAAGAGCAGAAACAACTATCTGTAAGTTAACAAATTCTGGTATGAATACAAGCTTACTTTGTTTAATCCTAGTATGTCTTCTTTTTCTAGAACGGTTAATTGTATTCGAGATTGCCATATTTATAAAAGCTATTTTCAACATCAAAGACTGCGTTCAAGTAATTTGCCGAAGCTAGGAAAAACAATTGCTAATCCGAATTCTTAAACTCCAAACTAATTAGTGAATTACCTAAATTCAGACCAGTCAATAAGCAACATAATGCTATCACACAACACAAAAAACTGAGTCACAAAGCATATAAATAAACATTATAAGTTTGAAGGTCCAAAACTCTTTCAACTCAGAAGCAATTGATCTAAAACCAGCTCAGATGATACCAACGAATAATGAATATGCCTCACTGTACTTGGAACTATAAACTATATAATAGTTATAAACTAAAAAAAATTAACTATAACACAGCAGAACCTAGAACCCCTACAGTGAGAACTGGCATTCTGAAGTGAAAATTTGAAAACAGAATACAAAATTTCCATGCAAAGAATATCAAATGGCAGATAACTAAAGCAAAATTAGGAAGAATTGGCAATACTTGCATGAATTCAAGCTTGATTACTATCCTAACTAACCTCATATTGTACCCAGAGGGAAACGTATTTTCAAACAGGAAATTGTTACTGAGCTAACCAGCACAATTAAGGAATAATTTTAATCTATACAACATCAACCTTCGGTAGCTGATATTTACAATGATTAAAGTTAAGCACTGTGGCGCACTAATGCACCGAAAGGTCTTCTCTCCTCTCCTTTGTAGGTAATATTTAATTACTTTATGTCGCATGGTCATGCAATTACGTTGTGTGTGTTTCTCCAATAGTTATTTGTGAAAGACTATTCAAAGTGAGGCCACTGCAACATGGCTTCTCATATATTGTGATTGAATGATGTGGGTAACTAAAAGAAACTATTATGAGTAAGAAGAGAAGAAACTGAACAAAGAAAATGAAGCTCATCACTTACTTGTTGCTTTCAATCTGACAAAGTCAAGTTCCCATCGAAACCAGCAGTGTTCTTCCAAGGGCGCAATGTTTAGCTTTCATTGTATTAACAATAGTTACAGATCGTCACCTATTGGTACAAAAAAAATGAAACACTAAATTGAGAACCCATACCGGCAAACAAAGTAACGCAAAAATCCGTATTAAAAGGAGCAGACAAATTAAGCTAAAATACCCAGCAACTTGCCTGTCAGCTTACAAAGATGTTATGTTCATATTTAACGGCAAGTATCTTATTCTGAATTGCAAAATAATGTACAGTTAATGTTTTAGCTCTGGATTGCCAAATCGAACCTAAGGAACTTGTATTTCCTAGTAACGCACTAAGAAATAGAACACAAAAGTACAGTAAGCCAACAATCCCTCTAAAACTATTTTCTAGTTGCAGATAAAGTAATTGAAACTGCTTAGCAGCTGACGATATAGAGAGAAGAGAAATACAACATAAAATGAGAGTACACGAAAAGCAGGAACATAATATACACCATTGTTTACCTGATAGTTCTTGATCTCACTAAGCTCGAAGTGACAACCTAAGAATCAGGCCAAGCACCAAAATCAGGCATTGGAGAGCATATACAAAGCTTTCCAGTTGACAGCAGTTATAAGGTATAACATATCAGGAAATTACAGTTTACAAAAAACAGCAAGTAAGAAGCAACAGGTAAATCATTCAACTGAAGGAGACGATCCGACCTGTCAACGATAATGATTGAAATTTCTAGCCAGGTAAAGGATCCTTCCCTGGACACTTTCATGGATGCATATCAGATATCTACCTCGTCAACATCATTCTGGGGCGAATGAAATACTGTAAAAAAAATACCATACAGAGCTCACATATGAGTAATTCAATAACCTGTGTATCCACCCTAACCTCTACAATGGATATAACTTCGGAAGGTTGGTCATTAATATGCCCATTTATTCGAAATACCCATCGAATTCATTCAGAACACCAATCGAATCTACTTACAAATCCAAACAAACTGAACCTTTCGTGTCTCAATAAGATGAACACTCCAGTGTTAGCTTGTTCACTCATAACTCATAAGGCATACGAAAATAACGAAATTATGGGTAGGCTATCACACAAAAGGCTTAGGGAACATCCACAACACTTCACAACAGGAACTTGAACTCATATCATATAATCCACCTAATTGACAACAGGCAGGATCTCTAAGAATTTGGTATGTTCATGGCACATGTTGGCTATCTTACAAAGGTTGCCTGCCTGGAGTCACATGACATTTGTTGCACGTCTAAGATGAAGTTGTAGAGCCTAACTGGGGTCTTGTTGCAGAGTTGCAGTCCCAGTAAGTTCTTTGTCAGCTATCCTTTGAAGAATTATCTCTCTCGATTCATGACTAAACAATGAAGGTTAGATACCTTCCACCTGAGGTAGTAAGACCTTTCGATGCAATAGGTAGAATCATATCTCCCACTGCACTCCCTAATAAAATGCTCAACAAATGGAAGTCATACATAATAAACAAAACAAAGCAAGGTTATTGAAGAAAACACATACGAACTAAATTAAGAAGGAATTGCCAACTTTATGGCCTTTATATTTTGGGACTCGTTAAAGTAAAAGCAGGGAAGAACCATATGAAAATTAGGAAGTTTGCAATTCCAGGCATGTTCGATTCTTAATAGACGCATTTTGGGAATGAGATATACTCTGATTGTACTCGAGGAACTGCAAAATAGAGTAGGATTTCTTGAAGAAGCAAATAGGATTCAAGTGATTTAACAAATGGATGGAAAGACCAACTAAAACAAAAACAGAAAGATCAGAGTAGAGAAAGGCAGAAAGATAACAATTTGGACTGTTGAAAAAAAAAATACAAAAATTTAGAATAAGGAAATCCTAAATCAAGCCAGGTTCAGTGCATGTATACTTTGTCCGAAAACTGATGGCAATCAAAGAATGATAAGCATTTTAAGCTTGGTTGCACCTCCAAACGTCCACCGTAAAAAATAATGGCGCAAAATATTCTGAAATACAAATCTATCCTTCTCAGTGATACAGGTAAACATTATTGATCATCAGCCTATTTCAAACTCGCGCGTTTGCAAGTAGGAAAATTGAGTAAAAAAGGGTATATAGTTACAACAAATGGCAAACAGAGATGGCAACAACGGGATCATGAAAGCAAGAATTAACTAACAAAGAAACAGCAAGGTCGAACCAATTATCCCCGATCCAAAGTGCCTAAACAATTATCAAGGATGAAAGGAGCACAGCAAAGATGATCGTAATTCTAAGGGGCTAGGGAAATGGAAGAGGCAAACGTAAGAGCATTGAGAAAGCATTTGTATCATACAACATCTTTCAGGGAGAAGGTAGTAAAACATGTATGTTTGTTTTAAAAATGCGACACAACCGCAGTTCGGAGCTCTATGGTTTTGTATGTTTGTTTTAATAAACAAAGCGATAAAGCATATATACCACAAGTCCCAGAATACGAAACAAAAGATGATAACGATAATTAGTGCCATATGGAGAATAAAAGATATCAAGATGAGAGGACGATTAAAGGAAAGAGTCGGGATTGATTAGATAGGAACTTACTGAGGGAGGTTATGGATTGGTAGAGCTGAAATCCGAAAGAGCCAGTATTGGTCGAGTTTATGATGGCAAATGAAGGATCATTACAGCAGGTTGCAACCATATCATATCTGAACAAATAGTAAAACGCATTTCTATAGTCAACCACAACCAAACGGGTCATGGACTTACAATATAAACCATGCATAAAATAGAAATGACCTTATTCACATTTAAAAAAGGATGCAAGATTACAACAGCAGTGAAATTCAATGTGCAATATTGTAGTGATTGGATTGTAGGACACAACAATAAGCAGGGTAGAGAGGCAACAGAAATGGCGATTAACGAAATGGTGGATATGGAGAAAACCATGAATTTGGCACGTCTAAGGGTTGTGGGGTTTGTGTATCTACTGCAATTTCTCTAAGAACCGCACAAAAACTTGAAGGTTCGGCAAATGGTAAGTCCAGATATTTCACGTTAAAAAATGAGGACATTAAATAGTCAACAAACCACCACTTGAGATGCCCTGATGTCATGTCGCTGAGATTAATGTGCAACCTCATTTGCTCTGACTCACAGGTCAGGCTTCTCTATTGCAAAGCTTCCTTGGTTGTTTCTACCCTGTCAAGTTCAGAACCACATAAAGAGGAGTAAAGAAAAGCAAAGAAACTAATCCAAGAAACTCAGCAAAGAAACTAATTCAGAACCACATATTCTTCTTACTACCATTCACCTTTTGGCATTCTCCACCACAGCTACAAAATCACCTGCAGAAAAAGAAAATAATCACAGTCAACAAACTATACTATCTTCTTTTAGAAGAACAAACCATACTGTGAGACCTGAGTTGCTGTAAGTAGTTGGTCACTTTAGTAAGAGAAAAGAGGCAATCATAGCCAGTAAGTTTCCCTGAGAGATGGATTTACAGCAATTTTATATAGAAATTAGAGCATTGCCTCACCATTTCATGTAAAAAGTGTTTCCAAAGTCTGCATAACTATGATCTATTAATATGAGGTATGCTTGGCAGAAGGTATTTTTGTTGCAAAGCAACTAACCAATATGATATAATCTAAAGGCTGTTGTGACATTCTTGTTTGGTTCCAACAAAGCGAACAGCTAGTTGAAAAAAGCAAAGATTAT